TTCTCCAAACATATTAGATTTTAAGCCCGGGATGTCCGGGGAATCCGCTTTTGGGAGGACGTTTGGTGTGGTGATCGTTCTCTTGAGCTTGTTGTCCCTAGACTATTCCAGATTGCTTCAAATCGTCAGGCTATGGTGGTCGACTGCTATCGCCTTGATAGTGGGAGAACAATATGGGATGTTCGTTTCTTGAGGCATTTTTAGGATTGGGAAATTGAGGATGTTTTTGTTATTTTGGATCTGTTGTATCGCCAGGAGATCATGGGAGATGTTTCTGACTCTTGGGTGTGACTTCCCTCTTGTCAGGGTCGCTTTGATGTTAGGTCTCTTTATAGGTGTCTTTCGGATACCTTGACCTCCCCCTTTCCGTGGAGGGCTGTTTGGCGTTCGAAGGCTCCTCTCAAAGTGGTGTTTTTTGCATGGATATCCATCTTTTGTAAAAATTTGAAGGACACGAAAACATATTGTGGTTAACTGGTGCTTTATGTGCAAGAATGATTAGAAAACGGTTGATCACCTTCTTTTGCATTGCCCGGTGGCATGGGATTGTTGGATTTTGATGTTGGGTCTGATCGGGTATCAGTGGGTTATGCCGAAGTCTTCCAGATGTTTGATTGAGGCTTGGAAAGGTTGTTTAGTGGGGGTTTGAGTCCGTGATTTTTGGAGGGTTCACCTTTATGTGTTGTTGGTTCATCTAGCTTGAGAGAAATAGGAGGAAAGGGAAATCCTATTGGGTTTTGAAGTTCTCCATTATTGGCACCCTTTTTTTGTTTGGTTCTAGGGAAAAATTGTAGATCTACAGAGGAGTTTGTTGATCTTTTGTGTTCTATGGGGGTTTAGAGGCTCTTTTTGGTCTTATGTATTTTTTGAGGGATGCGATCCCCTTTTGAATGCATTTTTATACATTAATTACTTTAAAAAATATATTAAAAAATTAGTCAGGATTTATATTATAGTCCGTGGTTTGAACTTTATTAAAACTCTCTTAATCCTGAATCCCACCTCATCTGAATCAAACCATCATGTTCTAAACACCACAACCACCACTGTGGAGGAATATTTCTATGCCAACCCTCATAAACACCTATTTTCTCTTTGGGAAGGTTTCTCTCTCCCTACACCAGCTCACCACCATTCTCTAATCAGTGCTTCCGCCTTGCTTGTTTATTTGTTTTTTTTGAACTCTCAGCTTCTCTCTCCATATCTAACGCAAGTAAACAACTTAGAGTTAGTTAATTAAATGGTTGAATGGTCAATATATGAATTAAAAAGCCATCGAGAGAGATGCACTGTTCATTACTCCTTGAGAACCGTAGGAATCGATTACAAAGGCGTAAAAAGTAGGAGTGAATAGTGTTGTTAAAGGCGTGCCTAGGCTCAAGGCGCAGGTGTAGCACCTGTTGTCATCCCAAACTCACTGATGTTTACTAGGCCCGCGCCCCGGGTGTGCCTTTTCTTGTTTGTCAAGCGCGTCTAGGTGCGCCTCACTAATTTTTTTTTAAAACTATGATTTTTTTATTTCTTAAGCCAAAAATGATACTTTTGGCAACTTAATAAACATATAAGAAAGCCCAATCGTACGAGATAAGAAACTTTTGTTCAAAATAATAAACAGATAAGAAAGCCCAAGAGTCAAAGTGTCAACCGAACAGCGAATGAGTGAGACCGCGAGACGATTGACAAAGCCACGTCAGTTCTTTCTTCTTCTTCTCTTTCTTCTCCTCTGCTTGTCTCTCCTCTCTTCTTATCTTTGTTTACATCTCTCTCTCTCTCTCTCTCTCTCTCTTCGTTTAGTTTTCTTCTCTCCCTGTTTTTTATTTTTTTTTTGGGGGGGGGGGGGGGGGGGGGGGTGGGGACTCGGTTTTTTCTCCTTTTTTCCTTTAACGCTCTCTCTCTCTTCTCATCTACTTTTCTTTCTTCATTTGCGTCTATTTTTTTGGCTCTGTTTTTTCTTTTCTTTTCTTGTTAACAGTGTTTTTTTTTTCTTGTTAACAGATTTATTTCTTTTTGTGCTTTGTTTTGCCATTCAAAAAAACAAATCTGCTTTGCCTTTGAAGAAAACAAAATTGTGCTCTATTTTATGATTGTTGGATGCTTGTTTAGTTGATGGATTTTCTTTTTTATTTGATATTAATTTTTGAAGTATTGATATGACTTATGAGATATGAATGTTTTTATTGTAGTTTAAATTTTCAATTGTGCGCCCACTTCACTCATGCGGTGCACCTCGCGCCTAGGCTCCAAAGAATCATTTTTCTTCGAGAAGTGTTTATACTATAGGTGGTATGAATTGCCATATTTAACCCCAAGAAAATGAATTCATGTGACGACTCCATCTTTGTTTTTTGTTTTCAAAGTTTTTTTTTTTAAATAGATATTTATCAAAAAAACATAGGTCATCTAAGGAAAAAAAAAATGGATTTTTATTCAAAGAATGCTTAACCACGGTACAAAATTTCCTCCCAGTTTTCTCCTCTTTGGAATAAGTGGTTGTGAAAGTGTCACGTCAATTAAAAATATTGAGTAACTAATTTTTCACCACCCCTCTTTTAAGTTGTATTTCATATATATAAAAGCTTTAATCGTTATTTTCAAAATACGATATAAGCTATTTTTATAGAGAAAGTGGGTCCAGTTTAATATTATTTAACTCTCATTTTTGTGTTCTAGGTCGTCTTCCTCTCTCTCCTTGGTCTCTGGTATTTTATTTTGGGTTCCAGTGAAATTCCTTGATTATCATCAAATTTGTTTCCTTTGTTTTAACAATTGTTTGTTCATTCCAAATTCATATTGTTTACGTGGTTTAAATTGAATTCCTGTGATAAAAGTCAATTCCCTTCACTTTGTCTAAAAATTGTTTGTTCATTGATTCATAATTTGTTGCTATGGAATTGAAGAAAAAACTCGGTCTGTGTTGGTGTTCTTCTCTTTGTCTCTTCGTGTCTGTTCCCGATCCTTCTCCTACTCAATTACGTACTGCAATTTCTCTCTTTAGTAGAATTTTGTTGGGATTTTACATATAACATAAGCATGAAATAAGGTACATACTGCTTGGGATTTTACGTATAACATAAGTATGAAACAAACCACGCATTGTTTGGGATGTTAAGTAGATTATAATTTGAACTAGTGTTTCTTCTATTAGAGAGTCGATGGCTATCATCCAGTACGATTATGGTGATTATAATTTGAACTAGTGTTTCTCCAATTAGAGTCGATGACTATCATCCATCCAGTAGGATTATGTTGAGATGTTGCGTACAACTTATATTGACTTAAAATACAAACGGCTTGGATGTTATGCACAAAAGTATTTGCATATCATCTAGTAGGATTATGTAGTGATGTTGTGATATTGACTTAAATTACAAAATGCTTGGGGGGTTATGCATTACACAAATAATTAAAGAAAAAAATCATACCAGTCCAGAACATATTTGAAATTGCTCAGCAAATCTTTGTATCTACTTTAAACCCAAACAATTTATGCACGAAACAAACGAATAAACCGAGGATTCCTTTCTTTTTTCTAAGTATCGTTGACTTACCTTCCTTCCTTTTTAGTAATTATTTTCTTTTTTCTGCCATTGATTTCTTCTGGAAATAATTCTTTGGGCTCCGGTGTTGCTTGTTAATTTGGAATTAAATGACTTGCATCGATGAAGAAACAGAAGAAATTTATGGAAACACAGTAATGGAGAAATGGCATTCTGGTTCTTTTTTTGAAACAAATCAATATTATCAACTATCCCATCCCGGAAGGTTAAATTTTCCTTCTTTACTCAACTTATAATTTTTTTTCCTTTCAAATTTCTCATTTTTCTTCTTCTTCTTATTATTTTTGGCCCCCTACTTCTTAACATTCTTCTTTTTGCACTTCAGAATAATGTATATAGTATGTAATTTTTTTTTGTTCTTATTTAAATTATAATTTTTTTTTTTTTGTTTTTACACTGCACCCCCCTCTGAATTAAAATTCTAACTCCGCCCGTCCCCTGGTATTACCTGTTTACCTGTAAGCTTTTACATAAGCTATTTTGTACTGGTTTTCTCATTTCACCTTAAAATTCTTTGTTGAGCCCTAGACCCCTTTCTATTTATTTATTTGTTGTTTGGTATGTGTTCACTCAATATGGTAACAGCTATTTCCTCCAACCAGGTCAATTGTTTACGATAACTTCTCCTGGTTGATGCAACATCAGTCATCAAAGTGTTGTTTTTTCGAGTCCTGATATTTGTTTGTTCATTTGCAATATGTAAAACCTAATTACTCTTCTAACAAGAACAGAGTTGGTGAATATTAGACATGGTGACTTTTGAGTTTCTTCTGCTTGGACCACTTAGTTAATACACATCTAGTTATCAACCATTAGGGGCTTTGGAGCACTATGTGAGAATGGAAGCATAAGCCAAATGTATGAACCATTCACTGAATGAACCTCTCTATGCATCATAATCATGGTGATGTCATCCCCCCCCCCCCCCCCCCCCAACACATATAGTGATGTGTATGCATACGTCTAGGACTTTGTAGTTTAGGATAACTAAGAAAAAACTTATTTGGGTTTCACCATCTAGGCTTGATAGGGGGCTTCATCTTTTTCATTTTCTCCCGTCTAAAGTCAGGCTTGGTCGGAGCTGCAGACTCTGTTGGGATGGAAAGAAGATTCCAAACCCATACCAACCTACAGCAAATGGTGTCAGAACGTTTCTTGCCCCTGCATACATCACTCACTGTGACAGCGTTATAATGAAGTATGCTTAGATGAAGATCAATGCATGATGCATCTGTGGCTTTATTGGATACAATCTCTCTAAGCAGTTAGTTGGTAGTGTGTCTATATTTTTGGATCAAGTTCATGGGTTGTGATTTAAGAATTTCTTCTCCTTTATTCTTTCCCATTTTTATTTTTTATTTTATTATATCTGTAAGATACTTGACTCCGGCCCTCCAAACTTTTAGTCTCTTGCTCATTTTATGTTCATTTTGATTGTTTCAGGGTCCAAGAATGATGATACTTTCAGCATTTAAGTCCGAAGGTTTGACCTTAGGGAGTTGACTAGGTTCCTTTGCTTGCTTGGGTGAATTTCAATGTGTAATATACGTTTTATTATAAATTATAATTAGTAATATAATAGAAACACCCAGGCTAAGATTATATGTTTTAGAACTCAAAATATAATTTATTTGCCAAAATGTTCTACTCATACTACCTTTTAATGGATCATTTGGGGGATAATTGCGGTCTGCCTTTCATGGGAGAATGAATGCATTGGATTAAAATATATTAGTAGTGAAACACATGCAGACATGATCATACTTGGTGAAAGAGCCTCTAAAGAAACCGACCATGGAGCACTGATATGGGACGCTGCTTGATGCCTTGAAGGCCACTTTGTTTTTTCTGCCTGGGACACTATATTATATTGAGCAGCGTCTCTGATCTCTCTATTAACGACAGCCTTCAGAACCAAGTAAACCTTGCTTCTAACAATTCTTGGGACTCACATTGGATGCAAGGGCCTGGGATGGCTGGCCATTTATGCCCAGGTATCATTTTTCTTCGAGAAGTGTTTATAATATATGTGGTAGTAATTCCCATATTTAACCCCAAGAAAAGGAATTCATGTGACGACTCCATCTTTGTTTTTTGTTTTCAAAGTTTTTTTTTTAATAGATATTTATCAAAACAACATAGGTCATCAAAAGAAAAAAAAATATGGATTTTTATTCAAAGAGTGCTTAACAACGGTACAAAATTTCATTGATATAATAAAAAAATGGATTTTTATTCACTTCGTCTAAAAATTGTTTGTTCATTGATTCATAATTTGTTGCTCTGGAATTGAAGAAGAAACTCGGTATGTGTTGTTCTTCTCTCTACCTCTTCGTGTATGTTCTTAATCTTTTTGCTACTCAATTATGTACTCTAATTACTCTCTTCAGTAGAATTTTGTTGAGATTTTACATATAACATAAGCATGAAATAAACTACATACTGTTTGGGATTTTATGTATAATATAAGTATGAAACAAACCACGTATTGCTTAGGATGTTAAAGTAGATTATAATTTGAACTAGTGTTTCTTCGATCAGAGTCGATCAGGGGTGGAGCCAAGAATTTGTTTCAGGGGGGGTGCCTTATTAAAGAAGATTATATTTTTTTCAAGCAAATAGTGATGCAAGACAATAAGTCAAAAAATAGATCTGTAATAATGGTGGAATAATAACATTTAATAATTTGAAAAATAATTATTTAAAAATAATAATAACTTAAAATACACCTTAAGAGTCCTAGCAACAAATTTAATTACTAAACTTTGAAGAGAAAAAAAAAAATAGTTTGAATAAAGGAATGTAATTTTTTTTTTTTTTTTTTAGAGAATATAAAGAAGAAGAAGAAAAAGAAGAAGAAGAAGAGGAGTAAGAATGAAAAGAAAGGAAAAATTAAAGATATTTTTAAAAAATAATTATTTTAGTGGGCATTTTTGTAAAATTTTATAAATTATAGGCCTATTTGCAATAAAAATTAATTGGCCCAAGGGTAAATAATTATTTCAGTGGGGCATTTTTCAGTTTTTTATAAATTATTGGCCTATGTGTAATTAAAATTAATGGCCATTTTTTAGAAAAAAATTATTTCAAGGGGGGCATTTTGAAAACTTTTATAAATTATAGGCTATTTTGTAATTAAAACTAATGGGCCAGCATGGGCCCAGAGGGGCCCTATGGGAGTCGATGATTATCATCCGATTATGGTGATTATAATTTGAATTAGTGTTTATTCAATTAGAGTTAATGATTATACTTTGCTTATTACCGTATTTTTTTTTCTTTTTTTATTCATTATTCTAACCCTAGCTCCCAAATAACTCATTACTCTCATCTGGCATCTCATTAGTTATTACAGCCGCGCCTCTCTCGCCTCTTCTCTCTTCACCCTCTTCTCTAGACTCTAGTTATTTTCGCCTCTGTGACGGTCTTCACTCTTCACCTCTGTTTTTGTTCACTCTTCGCCTTCTAATCTCTCGCCTCTCAATCCATTGTTCACCAAATTCGAAGCAACGGCGACCTCTGCGTATCGAAGCAACGGCGACCTCTTCGAGTGGATCTACCTCTTTTCCGGTGAGTTCACAAATTTTTTGCATGGATCTTCTTATTCTCCTCTTCTCTGAATATTTTTTGTAAATAACATCAATATTTTCTGTTAATCACCATAACACAGTGATGGATCTTCTTATTCTGGAAGACGACGACGCCGACGGCCATCCCGTGGCTGAACTGTAACTATGTGGCTTCGGGCTCCACTGTGTACTCCATCACGGAGGATTCTCGTATCTATTTGGTGAACGCCGCCGATCTCTCAGGTCATTGGAGTGCGATTCAGGCCAGTGCTTGTAAACCTTCAGTTTATTTTCTTTTGTTAAGACAGGGAATCCATTGCCCTAACCCTTCCCAAGATGTAAAGTTAAAGTTTTTCATTGGAAAATAGACCCATATGAAACTCTATCTCGGATTGACTCGATTGAGGAGGTGTTTTGCTTTTTCTGAAATTTTGATTCTTTGTGTTTTTTTTCATTTAGGGTTTCCTTGCTGCCATGGACTCTTCTTTTTCCCTGTAAAAATCATTGATTTTGTATTTATATTTAAAAAAAAAAAAAATGAACAAGATTGACAAGGCCCAATCTGCCCAATCTGCAGAAACCGAACCGATTCGATCCGTTACTTCACGGATTGGTTTGGTTCGGATTGAAGACCCCCATGGATCAGTTCGGTTTCAATTTTTGCCAATCCGTGGGGACCGGTTCAGCTTGATCTTTATTCCCAAAGCAAACCAATCCGAACTATGATCAGCCTATTTGGGATATTATGTAATAAACAAATAATTAAACAAAAAAAATCATGCCAATCCAGAACATATTCGAAATTGCTCTGCAAATCTTTGTATCTATTTTAAACCCAAAAAATTTACACATGAAACAAACAAATAAACAGAGGAATTCTTTCTTTTTTCTAGGTAGCGTTCACTTATCTTCCTTCCTTTTTAGTGATTATTTTCTTTTTCCTGCCATTGATTTCTTCTGGAAATAATTCTCTGTGCTCAGGTGCTGCTTGGTAATTTGGAATTAAATGACTTACGTAAACAAAGAAACAGAAGAATTTATGGAAACAAGGTAATGGAGAAATAGAGTTCTGATTCTTTTTGGAAACAAATCAATATTATGAACTATCCCATCCCGGAAGAGAGGGAAGGAGATGACGTATTTGTGATGTATATATAATATATATGGCTTTAGTTTCCGTATATATAAATAAAAAATGATGGAACTGGACTATTGTAAGATCGGAGAGAATCCTGATCCACATAACCACGGGATAAACTCACACTAACCCATCAAAACTTGAGAGGTATAGTGGTGGAACATCCTTTTCCTTTGACAGGTATCAATGTTTCATGTACCAACTCTATTTATTTCTTCAAATTCAGTTTTTATTTTTCTACGACCGTGACAGTAGTAAAATTGAATTTGACCTTATATTTCAAATAATAGTCTAAATTTGACCATGATACCGACCGTCATTGTCATTCACTATTGTGCTTACTTGCTCACCAGGACATACGTTTTATATATGTTAAGATGATCTTGTTTTAAAATTTTATTAAAAATTGATCACTTAGTTTCTTTTTTACCAAGTAGTTGTAAGAATTGGTAAAGAGAGGTTTTGGGACTTGGAAACACAACTTTTTTATGCAAAATATAGAAAATAATTATTTTAAAATAAAAGAGGGATTTATAATTAAGAAAGTAACTAACTCTTCAACATTTTTTTTTTTTAATTAGTTTGAAAAAAGAATTGAAGTGTGCATAAAAATTAGAAAATCTATTTATTTTTAATAGCAGTATGGACGTAGATATAGTGGTATATAAAGGTTTTCCTTTCATTTTCTTTTTATTATAGTTATAAATATAAAAGATATTAATAAACTATTTGAAGTAAGAGCTACGGGCTAAATGAAACTCAAAATGTCAGTCAAAACTCTGCATCTTCATCTGTTCACCCGGTGACCTACGATGTGGAAGATCAGCAACTCATTTTTATTATAGTTATAAATATAAAAGATATTAATAAATGGTATCTTAGTTTCATAGAACTTTTTGAAACTATTAGACAATCTAGCATCCAAAAAATAATAATAATAATAATAATTGAATCACTATTCTTCTACTTGAAACAACTACTCGCATCAGTTACCCTAGCTCCAATGTACAAGATACCAATCCAGTAGAGGAAAGCATCATCATCATGTTCGAACTTAAAAACAAGTTTGAAACAAAAACCATCAAAATTACCCAGAGTTCAACAAGACAAAAAGCATCATATTAGTTACCAATCCAATACACTGAGTACGTGATACCAATCCAATACAAGAAAGGAGAAAACATGTTAAATGTTGCAACTTCAAAACAAACTATCAATTATCCTTTGCAAGTTCAAAACACAGACTATCATTATCCTTTACAAGTTTTTTTTGTTTCCTAAATACTACCCTATGCGTTGCATGTTGAAAACACAAAACTATTTCTGGAAAGAAAGGACCCATTAATATGTTGCAACTTCAGAACAGAAACAATCACGTACCCTTTGGAAGTTCAAATCAGAAACCTTCAAGTTTCCAGATATCTTCTTCTGGAAATTTCTCAACCATGAAGTTGTGCAAGAACGACACGATTCCAGGATATAGCATCTTGATCTCATTTATAGTTTCCGTTTCCGGTTGGGGCCGGTTAAGGGGAGAGAAAAACTACAATAAATAAATACACAAACGAATAAATTTTAAAAATATATATATATATCAGAAATTGAAATTCATACCCTCCCAAGCGTCCTTTGTGAATGTTCTGATGCGTGATGCAGAACGTTTCTGATAAAGCGTATCAGGTCCTCCAGAGATTGTGTGTCATATCGAACGTTGCTGAATAGCTGATGCTGAAAAACCTCATACGCCATGGACCCCCTTGGGAGCACATTGTCCCATTGTCCCCATACATTTGGACGCTTGCGTAACTCAAGAGAATATGTACGATAGAGTGTCTGATTAAAACAACCAATGCGATTACAAATTGTCACCAGATGAGCGTACATTTCAAGATCAGTCAACAATAGTGGAGACTTTTTAAGCTGGTTAACCCTATAACATTAAATATAAGACAATAAGATTCAAATATATCAAAAAAAGTAACATTAATTGGAAATACTTCGGACTAAAGATAACTTACACTAAAGTGTTGACGTTGAAAATATTTTTAAAATCAGTCCACGCAGGAATTTGTTGTGCTTGAGCAGGAACAGTTATATGGTTGGTTAAAAACTGGAGAAAGTCGTCCAAATCTTTCTTTTTATAATGCTCCAAATCCTTTTGGTTGGTGGATGTTTTCATTTCAGGCATCATCATCTTTAAATCTCCCCCAACCATACAATAGGAGGAATCAAGACCCAGCCTGCCATGCGTTTTGTCCATATCATGGAGGTATTTAATAGCCTTCAACATATTCCTTTAAAATTGAAAAACATAAAAAATATATTAGGTATAAGGAATTGAAAAATATCTCTATATATATAATATCTAAACAATTTTCCTTTACCTGATCGACCGCTTCCAAAAATCGCTCAATTGGTTATTTACAAAAATGTTTTGGGGATGTTCTGCCAGCCATTTGTCAAAATAGTCCTCGAAATGTTCATGGACAACCACAATTTTTGTCTGTGTGGTATCTAAAGACAAATCTTTTGCAATCAACAAATGTGGACACTTCAGATCTCTAGTACTTGAAACAAAGTTAACTGCTTCTCGTAAATAGATGTCTTCAACTGGATCCTTAAACTTCTTGTAAACTATGAATCTGCCTTTCTCCTTCAATTTTCCAAGGCGACACAAATCTCCTTCACAAGCTATTTCACGCCGGCGCTGGTCCTCTTGAGAGTATTGAAATTTAAATTCTAATGCCCTCAGACCACTAATCTGAAAAATAGATACATACGTGCATATATATTTTTTTCATACATTTTAATAAATTTTGAAATTCAGTTGCATATCAAATTTAATTAAACTGCAATTTACCATTTGGCTCCCAGATACTTCGGTTCCTTCATTAGTCTCTTCAATCTTTCTTTTTTTAATCGTTTCTAATTCAGATTTTAATTCACGAAATCGTGCCCTCATATTTTGGGACAGGTCACCTCTTGGATCCTCCATAGCTAGAAATGACAACAACAACAACAAAAAAGTAAAAAAATACTTAACAGATAACAAACATTGCAACAACAAAAAGTAGAGAATTATAAGTATAAAACAAAAAACAAAAAACAAAGTTACAAATTCTTATACAAAAATAGACACCTCCAGCGATTCAAGTGGAGAGAGAGGATTGATGCCATGATAATAGGTTTTCAAACATTAAAAAAACAAAAAAAAAAACAAACAAACTTACATGAACCCATTTACTCCAAAAAAAAAATAAATAAATAAAGGAATAGGAAGAAGAAGATAAATTAGACTCTAATTATGCACATAAAACCATACCTAGCTCAAATACTGTCCTAGTTCGAGAGAAAATAATGAGAGAAATTGGCAAAAATAAATAAAAATAAATAAATAAAGCAAAGATGCAAGATCTAAAATAAAAAAATAAAAAAAAGGCAAGAAGATGCCATGATAATATATTTTCAAAAAATAAAAATAAAAAAACAAACAAACAAACTTCCATGACCCATTTACGCCAGAGAAGAGGGGAGAAATGTAATACCTAGATCAGAGAAATGTATCAGAGAAATGTATCTACTACTTTCAGAGATATAGTGTGTGAGAGAGAAATGTAATATATGTATACTGTGTATTATATAGAGGGGTAATGCAATCACAACCAAAAGCAGAGACACTGGAGCACGGTTCACTTCTTCTATAAAGCTGCTTTCCTCTGATCAAAAGCTGTGGGTGTGTGTATATATATACACACGCACACCAAACACACGTAGTATTATAATAATATTATATATACTACTAGATATTATTATGAAAATATTTTAATACTAAGCTATAATCACTTGGTCTCAACAAAATTAATCACTTGTTTAATTTATTAAACCACCCTTTTAGTTAATTTATATATTTCAGTTGTTTAATTTATTAAACTATACTTTCAGTTAATTTATAAAGTAAACCACTAAGGCATATTGGTCACTCACTAATTTTAGTCTTCTTAATTGTTATTCTTTTAATTTTACTTTCTTTATCATTTTCATAATACTATAAATTTTAAATTCGGTATACAATTTTTTAGGACAGCAACATAATGTATTTTGGATGAGAGGGTGATTGATATGAGAAAAACTTTTCAATGAAATTGATATGAAATAAATGTACCAAAAACATGAAAAATGAAAAGTTTATAAAAACTTTCAATTGTCCATTTTGTTTTAATAGAGTGTCGGTAGACATCTGTGTTATATTAGGTCTGCGTTGCAACCATTACAATAAATAATGTCTCCAAAAATACATCCCAACTTATTACATGAATTTCTCCGAGATAAGTTTGGGTTAAGGTGTTAGAACATTAAATCTAGTGTGAGCTAACCCCTTTGCCAATCTCCATAAATCCCATCCCCTAA